TCTTTCTTTCTTTCTTTCTTTCTTTCTTTCTTTCTTTCTTTCTTTCTTTCTTTCTTTCTTTCTTTCCTTTTTTTTTAAGTTATATTGCTCTGACAGTGAAAGGAAGAGATGGTTTCTTCTTTTATGTTGAGCATGTATAAAAATGTAAAGGGAAATGGTGAACCAGAACATCAAGATTATGTTACTATAATAGTTAGATTGGATTTTAGGATGATGAATGCACCATACTTAGACTGTTGTAAAGAGAACTAATCAGGGGAAGCAATTAACTGAAGTTGTATAAGATTCTACTCAGCCATGGGTGAGGCATGATTTGATTAAAATTCCTCTACCGAGCAGAGGTTCACTTAATATTATTATTATATGTTAACGGAATCACAGGACCTCTATGGCAAGACCTCCAACCTCTGTGTCAGTTCTTACACAGTACTTAATTCTAACACCCTTCATGTCACTCATTTTGGAAGCAATTGGTTTCCAGATATTTCTATTTTTTATTGAATTTATTGAAACTCATTTGAGGGGTTCTTGGTGAAAAACTGTAGTGAGAAAGCAGAGATGCCCACCCCCGCCAAAACACACACACACACACACATACACAGAGGCTTCTAGGGATAAGAAAAATCAAATATTATATGTGGCAATAGAAATTATTTTCAATGGAAAGTAAGATATTTCTAAGGGAGAATAATGGAAAATGCATGACAATAAACATTGACAAAGTCTTTTGGAATGTTTTTTGAAATTAAAAATGTTTGGAGATAAGAATGATAATCCAGTCTTAAGATGTTTCTCACTGTTTTCAGATTGGATTCATTAGAGGCCAGTTACTGAGTTATTCTATTAGAATTTGGCGATGGTGTTTAAGCCATCTCATCAAGAATCTGTTTCTTGAAACATGATAATTTTGGCTGTGGTCTACTTTTAGCTTATTCTTCACATCAAGAAACTGCATAGGATCATCTGGCATCCTGCATATGTTGAATGGACAGACAGAATATTTCCTAGAATCCGTTGCAAGGTATAGGTATAGATTTCATTTCAAACAGAAAAATTATTTGTTGTATAGTTTGGTATGTCTGGCTTGGTTTGCTTGATCTTGAAACTGTTGTTTATTTCCGAATATTGTTCTTCTCCCACAATGCTAGAAATTCCAATACAAATGAAGATGTGGAACATCTTTGCTTCTGGAACAAAGATAAAACTGGCAGCTGATATTTTGATACTTCTTCAAAACTTTACATGTTAAATATATCCTTAATGTGGAAGTTGATAACACAGAGGAAAAGTTATATAGAACAGTTGAGTGTTGAAACTCAGCATCAGACTTCATGCTAAACCAGAAAAACCTGACAAATTAAAGTGAAAAGACATGAGAAATGTAAAGACTGTACTGTATCGAAACTCATAGGTGTGCACCATGCTTAGACATGCTGTATCGTTGCAAATTTATGGACAATGACTACACATACAAGCAAATGAAAGCAGCTGACCACGTACCCACACACCTGGGCAGAGGTGCACTCCACACTCTTCGGCCACCACCAAGGCAAATAATTTCTGAAGCTCCCTCTAAGCGGTATCCAGAAGAACAGGAGAAAGTAAGAGTGTCTCCTACTTCAAAGTTCATTCCAATTCTGCTTCCAAATTGAGGAGTCCCAGGGTCCTCACAAGGCTCCAGATTGTATTCTGAGATAGAAAAAAATACAAAACAACATCTCCATTAAAGGGTTTTAGCATCTGAAAAGCAAAGATTCCTTTAAAATCTGACTCAGCCAAAATAACTAAGTGTTGCTACCTTATGACAGACCACACCTGTGTACCTGAACATCAATTTAGCTTTCAGATACTCCCCCCTCCCCATGCATGCAAAAATCAGTAATAGTAATTCAACTAGAGTTTATAATCATGCCCATACATGCTCACAGAATCTGTGAGATGCTGCTATAAATGAGCACAAGTCTGACATATAAAATGACCCCCAAAAATATGCATCTTGAAAACAAGATCTATTTTCTTATGAATTTATTCAGAATACTATGTCTTGAAATTGGTCTTGAAACCTCTCTGATGTGCTATGATTTCCCCATTAAATAACATACTCTTTTTATTACAATTTTCTTCAACACCACTATAAATGCTGCAACAGACATATTGAGATTTGTGGAATGGAAGTAACAACAAAAGCAATTGCAAAATGTATTTTTTTTAGAAAGAAAAAGTTATGTATCAGAAAAAAAAGGGTAATATTTGGATTTTTCCTTCTCACCCTACCCCATCTCTGTGCCTCTCTGTGAAGTAAATACTGCATTTTCTTCAACCTAAACAAATAGCTTGTTTTGTTCTCCTACCTGAGAAAGAAATATTAAATCCTTCATATGATATTGAAAAGTCAGAAATAAAACGCAACTGAGCCCTGAAATTTCCATAGAGACCAGCATTGATTGCAGATGGAAGTTCTGAACCAGTCAGGCGTGCTAGTGGTTGAGTGAAGCTGCGATTTTCCGTGATTAGTAGGTAGTCATGATGATCTTCCAGATGAAAGGTGTGAAAGGTAAACTGCACTCCTATTAGAAAAATAAAATTAGACTCATATAGTTAACATGAAACCAATTATATCACTGATTAAACTCATACATTTCATTCCAAACATGGGCTCAGAAAATTAAACAAGATTTATTTCACCGTTGCCCTCAGGGTCTTCATCTCTTTGTCTCTTATCTTTATCAAAATCATATTTTTGGATTTCTAGATATTCATCTGCATTTTGAAGGTAGCTAAGAGGAAGGATAAAAAGCCACTATTCCTCATTGACAAATGTACAAAAGTGAAATGTTAATGCTAAATCTGTGCCTAAAATAATAAGCTAAACTGTTTAGTTTATTATTTAGTTTATCTGTTTAAAAAAAATGTTGCTTGATAGTTCAAATGATAACATTTAAGCATAACATTTAGGGTGCATAATATGAAGCACATTTAAATGAAATATAAGTAAATTATGTACCTTTTCCATGTGTTACATCCACAGTCCATGTGCAATTCAATGAATTTGGATACAGTTCAGGGTAACCAGGAGATAGAATAGTTCCACTGGGTCCTCTAACATCTCCTCCACAAAGAGCTGAAAATGCAAGGACAGGATGTAAGGAGGAGAATATAAGGACATCAGTATAGGCAGTCATTATAAGTTTGCCAAAGAGCAACTAGAACATCTAATATCACTACTTAAACAGTGCATGTATCTGGGAGGGCCTTAGGGAAACAATACAATAATCTCTAACACTTACACAAAGTGCAACCAACGTTTACACAAAGTGCTCACAAAGGAACACAATGAATTAATCATTAAGAAGCTCTGGTAGTAATTATTATGACTTGCTAATAACATTGGTTGATTTCAAAGAATTCTTAGTGAAAAATAATGTTTCCTTTACAGGAAAGAAATAATGTATATGTTCAATTTAACAGGAACTGTTAAATACACATAAAAGCATAACAGAGAAATGTTCAAGCAAAGACAGTTCCAACCAACATTCTCCTATAGTCCTTTCTCCTATATCACTGATTAGTTTTATTACTGTAATACTAAGCCATTGAATAAATCATTATCCATCCATTCATCCATCTGAATACCTTATAACTTTTTGAGGGGCAGGGGAAATCAAACCATATGCCTGGGAGCTGATGGCTGAACAACTTGACAGGTAGTTAAACTTGCAGTTTAACTTGACAGGTAAGCTTTTGCAAGCTTACACTTGCCCAGCCCCATCCTGTCACACATTAAGAAGAGTGATTGGTGGTTGTTTCCCTCACTGAAAGGTGGTGTTCAGTCAGAGGGAAAATGAAGCCAGGGAATCAATCAGTTGATTTTCAATTTTCAATTCAATTTTCTTTGAGTTGTCCTACATTAAAATTGTAAGGATAACAACAAGTATACTTAACAAGACTTATACTGGTCTTGTTGCTAACACAAAATAAGGCCCAGCATATTTTTCTGCTGTTACAAGGACTGGCAATGCTTTATGATGCTTTTTGAGGGATAGAAGTTAGTTCATTTATAGGTATAGTTTCTCTTTCTCTTTAAATTAAGCCAGCCCAATTTCAATGTGAAAGATACAGAATTACAAATTGGGAGCAGTTGTTTACTCAGTGGACAAGTCCCATTGTTCTAGAAGGAAAAAAGAAAGAAAGAAAATCTCATTTACATAATGAACTGCATGCTAGTTCAGCCACTTGAGAAAGACATTTGTCACAATATGTACTGTTATTGCACAGTAGAGAATACTCTTCACAGACAGCTTCTTAATAGTGTTTGTTTTTAGATAGTAAATATTTAGTGCCTTGTAGCATTATATATATATGTATGTATGTATGTATGTATGTATGTATGTATGTATGTATGTATATGTGTGTGTGTGTGTGTGTGTGTCTACTATCCAGGGAAGATATTCCCATCTGTCCTCTGTGAAGCTTTATCTACAGAAGTTTCAGAACATTCTTACAATGTCCCTTTTCAAGTTACAAAAAAACAGAGCACAGAAGGGCTGATGAACAACCTCCACTAGTCCACCTTATTCTTATACTATTTCAGGCTCAGTTGGTTACAATAGGAAAGTAATCTTAATTGCTCAGAATCCATTGTTCAGAAGTCCCTTGCTGATCCCTCTGCAAAGAAAGGAGTGAAATTGGAGGCTTGGTGTGTAGGAAGGGGCTGGAATTAGATGGCTTGAGATTGTTTAGATCCTTTAACTATTTGACCTGATCCTCAGCTGAGTCCTTAGATTATACGAGTTTAGGTATGACTTTATTTAGCCTGCAAACCAAAACAAGTTCAACCAGGTTCTGCCACCTGCTTGTAAGTAGAGACTGTGTACGTATGTATGTATGTATACATGTGTTTGTGTGTATGTATACTCCTTGTTCCTTGGGCAAAGACTCCCTAATGCTTCACCTGCCTACCTCAAATATGAGAGTGACACAAACTAAGATAGTCATGCCAGCTCAGACATTGCCCAGATTAACAAGATCCATGTCAGATCTTGGGGAACCAGGACAATCTGACAATAAGTGGACAACTGGAACAAACAAATGGATGAGACAAGAGAACCTGGAATTGATGGAATGCTACTATAACAGTAGACCTAATGAGAAGGGATATATGAAATGCATGAGGAAACTATGGATGGACAGAAAACCTATATTCACACTAACTGAGAAACAGGTAGTTACCCAATGTTTCAACACAGTGAAGAGGAAGCTGCTCTCACAACTTGAGATAGACCAATTACACATTACATCCCAGGCTCAAGAAGACCCTGAAGAACAACTGGATGTGCAGCCAACACCTGAAGCTGGAATGTCACCGCCACCTCCTCCATTACAGACACAGCAGCTGATATGAGGCTTAAGATCATGGATAAACTAGCTACAGTCAACCCTTGAGACTGATTGTCAAGGCTCAGTGGAGAAGTACCATCAGATAGTATGTTAGAGGGTGCCAGTAGAGCCCTCACAACAATCCCTACTACCACCATAACTCAAACCAATGAACTGGCATATGCTATAGCCTCTGCAATCCTGGAGATGCTTGGCTATACAAATCAAGAATAACAGCAGTTCCAGTACCGCCCTGGAAAATTAGGTTGGAGGCTAAAATGAAGGCAACTCGAGAAGTTAGTAAACTGGTGGAACTACAAAGGGGTGCAGAGATTAAGGATAAGACTTGGCTACTGAAAAAATACAAGGGACTGACTCCATCTGAAGCCCTAGAGACTGCTAAACAAAGGCTCACAGGACTGGTTGTCAAGCTAAGGAGATACAATAGAGAAGAAGAGGCTAAGAAGATAAATGCCCTGTTCCCCAAAGAACCATCCAAGGTGTACTCCCAACTGCAGTGCAAGAACACAGTAATAGCAGAGCCACCAATACCAGAAACAGAACAATCCTGGAAGAACATATGGGAGAAAGAGAAGACACATAACACCAGTGCAAAGTGGCTGCAGGACCTGAAAGCAGACCACAACAATCTCCCAGAACAGGAACCAGTCACCATCACAATAGCAGACATCCAACAGCAGTCAAGAACATGAAGAGCTTGATAGCACCTGGCCTGAACATGATCCACACATACTAGCTAAAGAAACTAACAGCAGTGCATAAGCACAGATAAACCAGCTGTTAACAGCAGGCTCCCACTCAAACTGGCTAACACAATAAAGGACAGTGCTCATCATGAAAGATCTCTACAAAAGAACAGCACTGTCCAACTACCGGCCAGTAACCTGCCTCCCCACAACATGGAAAGTCCTATCAGGCATCATAGCCACCAAGCTATAGGACTATATGGGCCAGTACATGAGCACAGCTAAAAAGGGCATTGGGAACAACACTACAGGCACAAAACACAGTTGCTCATAGATAGAGCAGTTGCCCAAGACTCAAGGTCTAGACAGACCAATCTGAGCACAGCCTGGATTGACTACAGGAAAGCCAAAAAACTAGAGTTTTTTTGAAGAAGCTCTGGGGCCCTTGTCCAAGGCTTTGGGATCCTGGAGTTGCAAGACGTATAACATCATATGTTGTACTATTATCTTAATTACTCCTATCTGCAAGAATGACTGTTATTCATTCCCACAGAGGAAAATACTGTGCTACCATATTAAGAAAATCATTAAAAAGTAATGTTTCTTATACCATTTCTTCATAATTGTTCAGAATGGAAAGAGATGTGCAATTGGTTTCTAAATATCTTTTTCTCAGCTGGCAGATTATGTAGCCTATGTCTCTCATCCCAGATGTAATTACAAGATTTTGGTAGAGAGTCTGTAATATTCAGTATATGTACACACACCCCTCACCCCCTAAAAATCAAGTTTAGACAGGAAGAATTACTATTGTTTTTTCAGTAAATATAATGAATTAGTCTTTATTATTAACATGGATAAAGCTGAATATTCATACCATCACAAGTAGGGAGTGGATGGCTCCACCAGTGGTTCTTTTCACAAAGCAAAGGTTCCTCATGATTCAGTCTATAACCTGGGTCACACCCAAACGATACAGTTGATCCAATGGAAAAATCATGCCCATAACGATGGCCATGTACAGGTATACCAGGGTCCAAACAAGAGTAGGTATTAACCATTACACCTGAAGTTCAG